TTGTTTACAGAAAAAATTTATGGATAGATTAATTTGTTATTATTATTCTTTCTCTATATTTTTCCGAATAAAAAAAAACTCCGACTTTTAATATAATAAATCATGAGACTGAAATTAAGTTGTCATTTCTTTTTTATAGCAATTTAGTTGCATTTTCTTGATTTATTGTAATTATATTCTTGAAATATAAAAAATAAAAAATATATATACAGGATTATTTTCGTTCTCTCTTTTCAAGTAAAGATAACCTTTAGTTTTGATCATTTAATTTAATAATTATTTTATGCAAATTAATTAGTTAAATTTTCATTAAAATAAAAAATTTGGTAAAAGATTAATGTGTAACGGATAAAATTTTTTATTAATAATCAATGTGTCATTATGATCGCTACGCTTGCAATGTTATAAGGGAATATAGGTAATAGCTAAGTAAAAAAAATCAATATTGTTTGAACTGTGAAAATCGCAAAAGATAAATTGGTAACTGTATGAAAATATAATTAATAGCCAGAATGCGTGCAAAAATTCTACACGATAGTATATTCTACTCGTTCATAATTCGGAAGTTATGTCCTCGATATTTTCTTATTAAGATTTTCGATTAATAAATTCAAAATGTATTTATCAACTTATGACATTTACGATATTTTATGATACTCGTGGGATTCATATATACGACACGTTCTACAATTCTTTCATCATTTATGTAACAGCGAACACAGGAAGGATGCATTTACATATCGCATCACATGACTGTCCGTTCCAAATTCAACTTTGATTCAGATACCATTGAAATGCACATGTTTTTGCATCTAAGTATAGCGCGGCGAGTTACGCTCTTTCCGTAACAATGAGACCAAACCAAATGTGGCGCACATAAATAGTCTGATAGTCCAGCTGCTATTTCGGGCAGATCTGAAATTTTCTCACTAGTCATACAACTAGTAGATCGGCAGGAACTTGTAACTGTTGTATATATACTTCTGTTTTTTCTCTTTTTTGTGAAAAAGTATTCTCGAGTGTTGTGAGAAAAATCGACCGGTTGTAAGAGTTTTTACTCCCTCTTTCTATCTCTTTTTGTATGGTTTTCACAAACATATCCTTCATAATAACGAAATCAAATAGAAGCTCGCAATAATAGTGATTAGTTTATCATCAAAAATTTATACGATGCTGGGTGTACATGAAGCCATGTCGATAAACTGTCATTGACGGACGTTGTATTTCTCTTTCGGACATTCTTACATGTGTCGGCGGCACGATCATCAATTTTAAAGTTACGCGGGTAAAGTTTATTTCGCGAGTGGCGTGCAAAGGCCGGGGCTATTGTGAAGTTGTTCAAGTTGTTGGAGACCCAACCCCTTTTCCAGTCACTGCGAAACCCAGTGTTCGTCGAGCTCCTGGTAAAGGGGTATCGTACCGGAGGTGTACGTGCACCGGAATGTTCCTGGGACAAGGTTGTTTTGTGTGTAAAGAACGCGCTGCCTTCTGACTACATCAACATAAGACAGGGGACGATACGAGAAACTCTGAGAAGAATGATGAACGCGTACGCTTTGCACGTAAATGCCGTCCGAGTGCAACTTGAACGGAACTTTTTCTGTCGATACGACGGACTTAGCTGGGATATCTTATGCTTATTGATGTGTGCACAGAAAATGTGCCAGGTTAAATTTCTCGTTTCCATTAACGATAAAACATTCACAAATGAGCCGCGAAATAAGCATGAAAATATGTTTCAGAAAACAATGCATTCATTTATTGATCATCGCAACATCAAATATTGATCTCATAATGCGCGTGTCTCGTACGTATTCCATGTATCGATAACCTACCATTCCATGAAATTTTCCAGGCTAGCTGGTAGAAAATTATTTTATTCCGATCGTGCGTTTTATACTGCTCTCGTGTACTGTTCTAGCTTTATTAAATTCTGAAACATATATATATATATATGCCATATGCTTTCACGAGAAACAAATTTGTTCTACGCAACCGCATTGTATAATATAATATAGATATATGTATTGATTTATTTTTATTCATATTGCGAAAAAATTTAATAATGTAATAATTTCAAATTTATACCTCAGACGTTTATTTAGCGAATAAAATCATATGAAGAGTTAAAATTGCATATAATTAAAACTACATTTTATATAATAAAAATAACTCATAGATACTTTAGATTAATTTCTTTTTGAATTATCTCTTTTGTTATCTCATGAAAGCTGTATATGATCCTGTAAGTTATATCTGTAGAACTACATGGATAGCTTAAATAATGCATCATAATTCTAACATCATCTTCTAGTATTAACGAGATTATGTCTAGACGCATGTGTGTGTGTGTGTGTGTGTGTGTACAGTTAGTAAGTTAAGCAATAATGAATGCGGTGCAAATCCAGTAATTAAAGTTAACTGCTCAAAGTCACGATCATTAATTATATCAGCGGAGAGACCGATAATGATTTTGACCCAATTAATCGCTCTAACAGGGTGATTTGTAGCACGTGCCGCATCAGCAGAAAAAGACGTTCGCGTTTAACGTAACAGATAAAAGCAAATAGAGCGTTTGTATTTGTAATTACAGGGAGCAGTTAAATGTTCTTGCAACTAAATGTATTAATTATTCTTTTTAAAAAAAGCATATGCACAGATATATGTTTATTAAACGTAAACATCTATTAAATATTTGTGTGATAAATAAATATATAAAAATTATGATAAACATAAAAACATTTGGAAGTGTCTTAAATCGTTTATAATATAATTTAATCATTTAATAAAGTAATATTTAATTAAAATTGTGTAATATTTAATTAAAACATATTGTGTAGATATTTAACAATTTTACAGAAATCGTAAACATTCTGTAACATTAAGTATGATCTTGTTAATCAGTTATTTTTTTGCAAGATATAGACTTTGTTATTTATTTTGTTAATTTTTTGAAAAGATTATAATATTTTTATTTTTTATCACGAGTGTGTTGTAACATCTTTTTAACGAGCAAAGTATTAAAACTGCAATAAAATATTGATCATGAATTCAATCTATTCAATTTATGTTAGTTATATATAATATTCCTTAGATTATAAGAACAAATGTTTTATATCGAAACGTAATCGAATCATTATTATAATTCTTTGATATTACGATTGAAATGAAAAAAATCGTGATATCATTAACGTTAAATACACATGAATTTTAAATCTAATTATAACACACACGTCTTTTCTAATATAACATTATTACTTTAATCCTAATTAAAGTTCTCTTTAATGATCTTAGAATCCAGGCTTGCTCTTTAACGATATCTTGCTTCTACTTTACTATATATCTCTGTTACCCACTCAAAGTTAGTTCGAAGCACGCGACAAGAAAACAATATCCCCGTTCGTGTCTTTCATTCACTCTCGAAGAGCTTTTCTAGAATCGTGCTAATCTTTAACAAGGGAGCCCTACACCCTGTAACGCATTGTGCAAGATCTTACTGCTTCTGTGCTTCGTGGAGCAAGTTTCTCAAACTCAGTACAACTTCAGTTAGCTTTAGACTTCTTGGCCCCACTGAATGCTACGAACGAAATTTATTTATATCCGCACACGCCACTTCACACACAATAATGGAAACTTCGCCCACGAAGTCATGTAATCATAGTGAAATGAGAAAATATTCTAGTTCTCGAATATCAAAACTGTGATAGTGAAAATCTGTTGTAATTACATTCGGCCGTTAAATATGCAGTAAGTTTGTGAAAAATAATGCAGAAAAATTGACTACCAAGACACGATGCCGTAAAATGTTTGATGAGATAACAAGTTGATGAAAGAATATAGTGATGAAGTTCCCAAGACTTCCGTTGCCTTTTATATTCATGCTCAAAGTTGTGAAACGCAAAAGTGGAGGGAAAAATATTGCTAGGTTGAGGTGCTTTATAACGGAGAGTTGATTGTGTGTGTGTAAAGTGGATACAAGGGTCTCCATGGAGTAATGTATGACGGCGTGGTTTTTATGCGTCTGCGAATGAATCAGTAAAGGCATTTTTAGTAACGCGAAGTGATAATAAATTATATACACGAACCCGACACATGCAGGCCTCGGGAGATATGTTTGTGATAAATTCGACGGATAATCGTTGCGGCTATCAGCTGTGTATAAAAGCTATATGATTGCGTTTCTTTTTATTTTATTTACGTGCACATACCATCGATTATTTGACGTTAATTATTTTGCCTCGTTACAAAATAGAAAGGACCAGGCGTGTAAATGACTCATAATATCTCTTTAATGAGATATATTTTATTAAATTTTATAATTGCGTCATCTCTCCCACGAGTTATTTTTATCCCGACGGAAGTGTCGTTTTGACAAGCTTAACCGAGATAAACGTGTCATTTAGCGTGTTTTAACTTTCGCTGTACTTTTAATCATATTGCTTGAATTAATTATTCCCCGTGCGATCGAGTACTCGTGACTGCAAGTAATGACCAACGCGTCACTTTTCCGGGAACGCAGCATGAACGTAAGCCACGTCACGTAGTTTTGAAGTGCAAACCTCTGTCACGGACGATGAGCACGCGTCCACTAACCTAGTTACAAGTTAAGACTTCGAACTAGATTAGCTACTACAAAATATACTCTTATCTATCAATGTTTCTGAAGATATTTTGAATTGAAAGAAAAATTGACTGAAGGAAAAAGAAAAAGAACTGTAATTATATGTATATGTTAAAATAAGCGATGTAAACACATTTTCTCTAATAAGAGTTATATCATTATACTAAATATGAAGTATGTTAGAAACAATATAATATTTACAATTAATATCATATATTCGTTTGTTCCACAGATTGTATTATTAAAATGAAAAGTCAGCTCGATTAATAAATTTAATTATGTTATTATTTCCAATCCAGTGAAATGGCATAATTACATTTATTATTAGTTATATTAATAGTAATTAATTAGCAATATTATTTGCGTTTGTTGCAGGACGATTTCTGATCTAACTAACGGAAACAACAACAGGTAATGTGCAAGGCATTTTAAAATTTAACATTGCACGAAAAAGTAGCTATTAATTAAAACTGGTTTATTTCTATTATTGTCTTACTCATGTTGTACATACATTACGCATGTTATTAATACATGTATTATATGATTTTAATGTTGCATATTGCATATTGTATTAATAAATAAAGCGCAAACGTAGCTTTTATCTGTCCTTTATAAGCGACATTTTTAGTCGACAATTCCGTTTGAACGAAATTCGCAGTCTGGAATATATAGTGCAAACTTAAGATTTGAGAAAAGATTCATGTCGAGACATTCCCACGTTAGGCAAAAATCGCGCACAAGCCGCAGCGGAAAAACAAAGTGGATTATGCGTCATGTATACTTTCGCCGTTAAGACGAGAGTTTATTCCGCAGACGGTCTAATGTCGTAAGTTTACAGAGAACCTCTGGAAGAGGCGGGGTGCCTTTGGCTGTTAGGTATAGGTGTCAACGTTATAGGTGGCTCTTTTCGCCAGAGTTTCCTTCGCGCGTCTTCCTCTCCCGGTTCCTTCGAAAGGGGCTCACAATGTCCGTGTATTTCTCTCCTTCTACAGCTCTTCCTACCTCTATCCGCGCAATGCCCGAAGGTATGTTGCAGCTTACAGTCTCACTGTTTATCTTCAGCCGTGAGCTTTTGTGTTTGCACAGGCTCCTGGCACTACCAACCGTCGCGTATCCACATCGACCTCGTCCTTCGCGGCCGACTCCGTGCAAGACGAACTACTGCGGTCCTCTATTTATTTAGTTTTTTCTCAGAGAGTTTGTGGATCCTGGAGAAATGCTTAATTGCCGTAAGTGTTCGCGCCACTGCACAGACCTTGGAAACGTTTCTTGACGAAGCCTCTTGATCATCGTAGATTTTTGCCATTCCAAAGATTGGAATTCACGCTGTACGTAACGAGCGTGAATTTATTTGAATGAATTAATTTTAATACTTTTAGTCACGCGATTCTCTATTTTATTTAATATTCCCTTAAAAAATGTATTATTATTCGTTTGAATGTCCGATACATTTTGCGATACTTTCATATTTTTTTATCGCACTGGTATGAATTTTCACGGGCTGAAAAATTTTAAATCTTTTTATTATATATTCGTACATTTCTCTCTCTCTCTCTCTATCTGTCTGTCTGTCTTCCTTTTTTATATCCATATTAATTGAAAGTGACGCCAAAATATTCTCGCTATATCGTCGAATACACAGCCGTGTCAGTTGAAAACATGTCTAAAGGACCGGCGTGAATATTAGAAAAGTTTTCACGAAATTCCGTACATTGACATGTGACATTGCTGGCGTTGTGGTTTCGCGTTAAAAGAAACGCCTAAATTACCCGCGATAGCATCGAATTCAAAACCGGACGCGACGCGCACGAGTTAGCGCGGGTTAAAAAGTACGGTGCGGATACCGTGGGCGATGTTCCGTGGTGGTAGTTTTTGCAATTAGCAATATCGGCTACGTCATCCGACACGTTCGGTCGGCCGAGGGACCGGCTGGTGCGGGAGTGCGCACTTCGTAGCGTCGTCGGTGCTGCCTGGCGTATCGCCAAATTTCCAGCTGACCCACCCTCTTTCTCTCATTCCCTCTTCCCGTATCTCTCGTACTCTACTCCACCTGGCTGCCGTCGACTCCCGCGTTGTATATATCGACGCCTAGGGCCATGCGCGTTATCAAACGATTTATATCGATGTTTTGCAAAATTTGTGGAACCAAGGCTTGCGACTGGCACGGGGTGCGCGCTAGTCCCGCTCGGGGAATGCATTAAACGTTAACGGCGAAAATGGATAACGAGGGAAGCAGCGATGGTGTGCAGCGGCGCCGGCAAAGGGCGCCTCGTGCATGAGCCAAAAGATATCGCCGCGGCGTGTTATCGGGTTTAATCTAGGCTCGTTAATAACCTTTCGCTTTTGTAAGCGCGTATGCCGCAGAGAGATCCGTTTCCACACGCTCATTCGCGGCCGGTCGAGGCATCAGGATTTATGCCTGTCCTCGATAGCGCACGCCGTAACGCGAAAGTCCGGAAGCCACGCCTCGCATTTACCGCTAAAACGCGCCCATCGTGATCTCGATGCCGCTTTTGACTATCTGTCTTCCTTGTGGGTGGACACGCGTCGCTCGCAATGAACGAACGTCGTCGTTTGCGATAACGTCCGCGAAAATATTCGTCCCGTTACCGTAAGTCTCGGACGGAAGAGTCCCTGGAAAATCCCGAATTTTCTCGGCGTACGTCGGTGGCAAGAGATTCAACGGAAAATGGGACGTACGTTTCGCGTTAAGAGAAGTTCCAGGCCGCCGGGGATACGAGTCGGCGACGGCGGCTTAGCCCCGAAGTGATTGCGTAAAGGGCGCAGCTGCAGGCACATTCGAGGATTCTTCAGGGAATCCAAGCGAGCACCGTCGCTGGGATAACGTCGGAGAACAAAGAGCGGAGTAAGCTAAAATAATTGCCAATTACAAAACCGAGCTGGATATTAACATTATCTTAGGGAGGTAGCAGCAGACCGCCGACGTTACCTGCAGCTGCAAGACGATGAGTTTCTTTGTGAGAATGTTTTCCGCGTTTCTCCGTCCGGGAAATCTCGAGGTGGAGCAGTTGCCGCATGCGTTTTCTTCTACGATAACCGACTATGCCGCCCGCGTAGTCGAGATAAAGAAGATCGTCCGCCTTCGAAGAGAGGAGCGGCGGATATCCGTTATGAACAATTATTAGTACAGCTCGGAGCTTTCAACTTTGGAATATCGTTATAACGTGATTTTATCTACAAGTTGTACGGAGAAATTCACTAATGCAAGAAACAAGAGATGAGTCTTGAAAGCGCACACCAGCAATTGCGTGGATATGAAGCAACGTATTTCGCGTTTAATCTGGTTACACGCAAGATACGGTAAAACGAAATGAGATACAGCAGATTCACAGTAATATAAAGTACAATGGCGTAACTTGAAGATCCACGATTATTTAGCTTCTTTTGTCAGTCACGCAATCACAGTTGACACGATAAACAAATGGATATCGTATATAATTTATCAATTTATCAGATTTGGATAAATTTGGGAACGAAAATCATGACAATCTCCATAATTTCTCGATAATTAAAGTAATATTGCAATTGTCACCGTTGTTCTCTTTTCCAGTAATAGATTTTCCAACTGGGATTTGTTTCTTTCTCCAATTTCTCCTCTTGCTCTCAAGCGTACAATCTCGAACCAGAGTCAAATCCTCAATTCAATTATTCACGCGATAGAAATTTTCGATTAAATCGCATTTATTAAATTTATATCGATTTAACTTTGATAGATATATAACTTCTGTCTTTAACGGTGACAGCAGAAAAATTACAAATGACGCGAAACGATTGTAGTCGTCGTGTTCAGGCAATTATCGGACAGAATTCAGCATATTTGTACCGGAACATTTCTGTCACAAATAAATATGAACGACGGATTTCCGACAGGGAAATAACGAGATTCCTCGATCCCGCAATTCTGTGTTGCCGGCCATTATTTTCCATTAATCCGCTATGGCAGGAAAAACCCGACTCCGGATTGAAGAGTCACTCGTCTTTCTCATTCGGATTTCCGAGACAACTCCGCCTCGATTTCATTCGAGATAAAAGCAGAGAAATAAGCGCAAAAAGAAGCCGTATCGTTTGCAAGGCCCTCCCTTGATCCGCAGATGCGGCCTAAGGTTGTTCGGAAAACGCGTTTGTATTAATTAAAATGTAATTAATCAGAATTAAATTGACTCGGCTGGGTAGGAAGGGTGAGCGCGCGCGACGACGAAGGAAATTGATTGGTGGAAATAGAAGAAGAATAGCATGGTGGCGGGCAACTTTTCTCGACGGATCGTTCGCTAATTCCGCGATTCCACTATTTTCGCTACCCCGTCGTTCCAAATCGAGAATAATGTAAATATTTCACGAACATCCAATTAGTCTAAGAAAGAAGCGCGGAATTAATTCAACAGTGTTTAATGGCTTCTTGAAAGATTAAACTTCAGTTACTTGCCTATGTCTATATCTGCCTATATCTAGATCAGGAAGCAAAGAAACAGGAAAAACTCGCTACAATTCTTTGTGCTAAAAGTCCTTAAACTAAATGTGACGTGAAATCATCTTTTCTATGCAGCTATATATTGGCGTATAAAGTGACACACATTTCCTATATCAGCTGTGCATGCCGAAAAACGCCGAAAAAGAAAAGAGGAAAAGAAAATTTTGATTTGAGTACTTTTTTTATATTATTTATAAAATTGCGTGGTTTCTCGATTGTTGGAAGGCCACAGATATGAAGTTTTCCGTGTAAAATTCATGATGTACAGCACGACATAGTGTGAGAGTACAATCGCTAAAGCATTTATAAAGTTCTTTCAAATGTTCGGTTCATGGACATTTTAAGAGTCAACCGACTTGCGCGCGGTTCTTACGTTGGTCTACATTAGGAAGTTCGGGACTAACTACGAAACTATTCAACATTTTTTCCCCGTTAATTAAATACCGTTCTTGTAATAGAGTTAAAAAAGTCGCGGCACTTTAAAATGTTTAAATGGGAATTAGGTCACAAACGCATTGTTAAACTCGTTTTTTTTCCATTACTCCCCATAAATGTGTTTGGTCGATGTTCAGTATTTTCATTTATTTTCCAAGCTTTCGCGAAACATTGTTGTGGCCGAAACTTGGCATTGCTTTTCGATGGCTTTTTTTTTTAACAAACAGCTGTTGACAGCTCGGTGACCTGCTACAAGTGAATTTAAACGCACATTTCTCTGTCAGCGGTTGCAAATGTTAAGCGTATCAAAATCAATGTTTCGTTGAAATTCCACAAAATTTATTGCAAATAGTACAAGTCGTATGCTTAAATTTTTAAATGTCACGAAGAATGAAATATGATATGTATTTGCAAAAATAATATACAGCAATTGCATTATTCTACTTTTTAATTGTAATTCAATTCGAATTTGCGTTTTAAAACCGAA